GTCAAGCGCTTGAGCACGGCTCAAATGGGTGTCAGGCTGGGGTGCGCGTTTGGCAACATCGCGCAAGCGTGATGAAATGAAGTTCGGCCCAGTCATTTTTTCACGCTCTGCCCAATAGCCAGTGAAGTGAGAGGGCTGTGACTCTAGGTGAACATTCTATTTCACCCACCGAAATGGGGACCTTTCATGTGAGATCTCAAAGCCCTTGCGTCCTGACGTAAGCTTTTGTGGGGGGAGGGGATCTCTAATTCTACTTTTAGAGGGCTATGTTGGTACCGCCGCAAAAGGGGTTTCTAGGTTTGACTCTCTGCTACTTGTTTTGACAATGAGGCAGTCTTAGATGCCTTGCAACTCCCAAGGTTCAGCCATCCACGTCAAGCCGGTGGACAAAGCTCAGATTGAGGTTCCTACCTTTAGGAGGAATCTATTGCCACATTGCTAGAAAGCTAGCTTTTCAGGGAACCCTGGGAAGACTCATTTTGAATTTCCATGCGATTAGGCAGCTTTCAGCAAGGGAAAATGGCTCATTGGAATGGAAGTCCGGGCGGGAATCTCTTCTTTGAAGGGGTCATGGATGTTAGCCAAGGGCTTCAAGTTGTGTACCGAAGCAGAGGCCGCGAAATCAGAGGCGGAGACCGGATCCCTGAACGGAGTGAGTTCAACGGAGCATCGGACTGGAAAAAGTACTCATCCCGAAAAATGTCCCGTGCGAAATAGAGTACCTTGCTAACCTGCGTGCCGCGGCTGGGTTTCGGCCGCATTTCCTGTTTGCCCATTGGGGGCTTGGAGTAGCAACTCTCCTGAAAAACATGTGCCTGACGCTGTGTTTGCCAGCTTTTTGGATCTGGAAACCAAAGGCAAACCACCATGGCATGAGGCAGTCGACAGGCTCCCCCGCTGTGTGTCCGCCATCTCAGCGCATCGGGAATCTTTTCGGCCCGGCGAGGTCGGCCGGAGGGAAATGCAGATCTGCGTTGAGTTTGCGCGGAAGGCACCGAGAGACACAAAGGGCCTTTTCTGTCCAACGCGGAAAAAGCCATGCCCACCAAAGCTTCGCCGTGCTCAGAATGCATTGCCTCCCTGATTTGCACCTCAGTTTCAGAAAGACCAACATGTCCTGGCAGATTCCTTGGAGCCTGAGACTGAAAACCAGCGCGGGTGCCAGCTGCAAACTGTCGGTTCATCTCAAGGCTCGAGACACGTTGACACGTTGACGAACATATCATCTCCCAAGCAATAGACATGGAACCCGCAAAGAAGCAATGTGAACACGTTTGGGGCGAGTAGTAATCTGGTCAAGTTGTGTGTTGCAAGAGCAGATTAAACATATCTATCTGCCTGTTCTTGATGTCTGCCCATGCCTGACTTCAAGACTGAAGCTCAAGGTTTCATCAAAGCAAGGCTTCGTGCCCGATACCCCAGCTCATAGCTCAAGGCTGACTCTGACACAATCATCAGCTAAACTGAAAGGCCTTTTGCCAACTATACCTTGGCCCGCCTAAGAGAAATGTCCGGAACTGCTTCTTGTTCAGCTTTTGTTTGGTTTGGTCTTCGAAAGACTTGCCTTTGATTTGCGCCGACGCGTGGTTTCCCCACCTCGAGGTCAGAACAGTGTCCACCTCAAGGTTCCAACGGGGCTTCTAGGAGTTCCAGAAAGCCAGAATTGTGCAATGGAAAAGGCAAACGGAGCTGCCAACACTTTGTCTGATCCATGCGAATTCTCTGGATACTTCAAATTTTCCTCGACCAAATCAACGAGGACAACTGCTCCATGTGCCCCTTATCGGCCGTTTTCCACTCGCGTTTTTGCTTTTGCTTGGGCCCCTTCAATCAGAGCGAGCGATTGGAGCGGAACCATCGGTTGCCGATATGAGCTCCAAGTGAGTCATGACCAAAACCCGATGGTGGCGCAAAGCGAAAGCAGGGCACATTCTGCCCGCAACCATCTTAGTGAATCACATCTGGAGCGGCCTCCTGCCTTCGGGAATGTTCCCCAAACAAGCAGTGACCGAGCGAGAAGAGAGCACCTCTTGGCTTACACCTTCAGTCAAACATCGTCCAATGGCCCTTCCTCCGGCCCAGGAGCCTTGGGGAAGCCAAATGGGAAGCCTGGGACCCCTTCTTGCCCTGGAATCGAAAGCGAAATGCACCAAGAGACTTGAATCAGGTCGCAAAGCTCGCCGATGGTCACCGGGTCTTGGTGACACTCGGAAGAACCATGACACCCGGCCGGCGGCTCGCCCGGCTCGCCCGGCTTGGCCGGGGCGATCCGGGGCTGTCGGCATTCGCCTTCCCAAGACTTGGGGAGCAAAGGAGTAGGGCGCTCCCGAAAATCGGCTCGCCAAAACGACCCAAAAAAAGGTACCATCAAAAAGGCGCGCCCTTTTTACGCTTCTTGAAACGGAGCTCATCACACCAAATTCACAAGCGCCCCTAGGAAAATGAAGGCTGCATTGCCGTAGCAGCGGTGTCATGGCACTAAATGAAGTCCTCCTACCAT